AACATGAACTATTGATGAAGTGATTTTCCAAAGCGAAGCGTGTGGTCTGATCACCAGAGCAAGATTTTATCGCGGTAACAGAACTTTTCTTCTGTGGTCAGAGCTGTTAAAATGGAGCCATAATGTTAAACCATAATAGGTTTCACAAACAAGATAGTTGCTTCTTTTTTACATGATGTTGCGAACCAGGCCATGCAATTGTGTGTGTGTGTGTGTGTGTGTGTGTGTGTGTGTGTGTGTGTGTGTGTGTGTGTGTGTGTGTGTGTGAGTGTTGCGATTTAAGTAAACAAAATTACATTTAGTAGTTTGCCATTGTACTGAACGGTCAGCATTCAATACCATTCTTGAAATCCACTCAAAGCGGTTTGTTACCTTGTCGACCGCAAATGGAATACAAACGAGTATTTCGGAATTCTAAACCACATTCAAAGCGCCTAAGCCACAGACGCCAGCATAGGAAGCAACAACATGTCACTTCTTCTTCTTCTTCTGCCTTTTTATCCCCCAATGGAGCATAGGCCCTCAACCAACTCACGCCAAGTCGTTTTATCCTTCGCCATTACATGGAGCTCTCCCCATGTCCTCCCAATCTTTCTAACCTCATTTTCCAGCTCTCTTCTCCATGTGTTTTTTGGCCTTCCATTATTCCTATGCCCCTGTGGGTTCCAATGCAAAGATATTCTAGTTATGCTGTTCTTCTGTTTTCTCAGTGTGTGCCCTATCCAACGCCAGAGTCTTTTCTTCACCTCCTGATCCACTAGAGCCTGTTTAGTTCTCTCCCAAAGTTCTACATTAGTTATTCTATCATACCATTTTATTCCCTCTATTCTGCGCAGGCACCAGTTAATGAGTGTCTGTAATTTGTTAGTAATTGCCTTCGTTGTTCTCTATGTTTCCGCCCCATACAATAGTACTGATTTGACATTAGAATTAAAAATTTTTAGTTTAGTATTTCTTTTAATTTCTTTTGACCCCCACAAATTCCCTAGTGCTATGAAAGCCCCTCTTGCCTTTTGTATTCTTATTTTAATATCTCTATCAGTTCCTCCATCTTTATCTACATTACTGCCCAAATAGGTGTACGACTCCACGTCTTGGAGTGGGGTGCCATTAAGAGAAACCACATTACTATTTGCCTGATTTATTCTCATTATCTTTGTCTTTCCTTTATGGATTTTCAGACCAAGCTGCTGTGATCTCGCATTAAGTATATTTAATTTATCTTGTATCTGATTCCGAGAATGGGACAGAAGGGCAATATCATCAGCGAAGTCCAGATCATCAAGCTGTTTTGTAGGGGTCCACTGAATTCCATTCTTGGTGTTAGCAGTTACTGTTTTCATAGTCCAGTCTATAGCCAGTAAAAATAAGAGAGGCGACAAAAGACATCCCTGTCGCACACCTGTTTTTATTTCAAATGCATCTGTTAGCTTTCTCTCATGAAGAACTCGACATTTCATGTCTTTATATGTTGCCTTTACTAAGTTGATAATTTTCTGTGGGATTCCATAGTGCCCCATCAATTTTCAGAGAGATTCCCTATCAATGCTGTCAAATGCTTTTTCATAGTCTATAAATCTAGAGTAAAGTGGTGAGTTCAGTTCAATGCTTTGCTCTATTATAATACGTAATGTGGCTATCTGATCAGTACAGGATCTGTTTGACCGAAAACCTGCCTGCTCATCTCTTAGCATTTCATCAATAGCATCTTTTAATCTTTCCAAAATAATTCTACTTAATATTTTTCCAGGAACTGACAGTAACATAATTCCTCTATAGTTTTCACACTCCTGTAAATCACCTTTTTTGGGCAGTTTCACAAGATATCCTTCTCTCCAGTCTGCTGGTATTTCTTCGGTCTCCCAGACTTTACTGAATAATCTATGTAGCAATTCTGTTGATGTGTTTATGTTGGTCCTGATGGCTTTAGCTGGGGTACCATCTGGGCCTGACGCCTTTCCTTCCTTAAGAAGATTTATAGCTTTTCTAATTTCCTCTTTGGATGGTATCTCACAGTTGATATCCAGTTCCATTTCTAAAGGCTGGATATCTGGGGGAACCTCTGGGCCTGGTCTATTTAGAAGCATTTCAAAATATTCAACCCATCTTTCCATTTGATCTTTAGTGTAAGTAAGTACCTTTCCTTGACTATTTTTGATTGATCCAGTTGGCTGACTATATTTACCTACTAATTTTCTTGTGTTACTGTAAAGTTCTCTGAGGTTTCCTTTTGCTGCTGCTGTCTCCGCTTCTTGTGCTAGATCATTTAGATATTTCACTTTATCTGCCCTTATATGCCTCCTAACTTCCTTGTTGGCTTCTGTGTAATTCTCCTGAGCTCTAGCTTTAGCAGCTCTAGTTTTGCTATTGTTTAATTCTGCCTTTTTACTTTTCCTATCTTCAATCAGTTTTATGGTTTCTGGTGTTATCCATGCTTTATGTTTCCTTTCTTTCTTGCCAAGAACTTCTACGCAAGATTCATTCCAGATTCCTTTGATCTGATCCCAGCAGACTTCTGTGTTGACATCCTCAGCTAACTGCTGCAACACCTGGTACTTATTAGAGACCGTAACTGAGAACTGTTCCTTAATTTCTTTATCTCTGAGAAAGCCTACATTATATTGGTTTCTATGATTATAAGATGTTATATATCTTTTTAGTTTCAACTTGATTTTACTTATCACCAGGAAATGGTCAGTAAATACATCGGCACCTCTGAAAGCCCTAACATCGTAAAGGGATGATCTAAACTTTTTGTTAATACATATGTGGTCAATTTGATTAGTTGTCTTATGGTCTGGTGATTCCCATGTTGCCTTGTGTATTCTTTTATGGGGGAAAAATACTTCCACCAATAACATACTGGTTACCTGCACACAAATGTGTGAACAATTCTCCATTTTCATTCATTACTCCTAGACCATGTCTCCCCATAATTTCTTCATAACCTGTGTTGTCTGATCCTATCTTAGCATTCAAGTCACCCATCAAAATTTTTAAGTTGCCCTTTCTTTCATTATTGTGTCGTCCATATCAGCTCAGTGATACACCATTTTGTGCGAAACCATATTTTGATATCGCAGTCAGCACTCTTTGCGTCAAGTAGGCTGCCTTTATTTTCTATGAAAATTCCCTGGTACAAATTTTAGTCTTGCGTCAAACTAGGAGATAAAAACAGTTATACAGAGGTCGCCCTTTTCTGGATATCTGTCTAATCTAATAGCCTGCAAGAAACGTAGAGATTGTAGAGCTGTCTAAGGTACCTAGCAAAAATATGTTGGAAACAAGATATACATATTTCTCTTTAGCAGCACTTACAATACATACTTTAGACGAATGTTTTACTGCTTGCAAACTAAGTATAAATAATCGCTTGAGTGCTTAAATACACTCGAAGTATTCGCCATTTGCAAAGCAGACATAATTTAGTCGTTAGTCGAGTTCCAGCGTCTATGTAGACAGGTCAGGGCTTAACTTTTCCTTATCTGTGCCAGTTGAAATCATACACCATGACATCCAAAGGCCACGTCTAAAACTATAGTAACTCGTTTAAGTTCCAGATAAAACTAAAGCTTGTACATGCAAAGTAAAAATGCCTATGTTAGCTCTCAGATATGCCAACACTAACGGTCCCCCGCCGTAGATGCAGCTCACTGTTGGTGCAAACGACAAGTCACGAAGTCCGGGCCGTGCAACCTCGAAAGTAAACACCATTCTAACATCAGTAGCGTAATGTCAGTAGCAAATAGTCATATCCATACAGACTGTTTCATAAACGTGGTATTCACATAGTCTCTGAAACCCTATTTGTAGTAGAAATTGATATTGAAAATATATACCGTGATTCCTATGATATACACGGTGAATCCTATGAAAATCATATGTATATAAACCATAATAGTCAGTATAATGAGAAAACAACGTTACAATGACAGTGAGAGACATTTCAGTTGATTTGCAGTGCCACAGGAACGGAGCAAATACGGGGAAACCCGATTGATGTGATGTTGAAACCTCGACTAAAACTAACGTTACAAAATAAAACAAAATATTGTCAAGAAAAATCGACATTGTGTTGTCACTGTTATCTAAACATCTGCACAAGATTACCTGGAAAATGTTAAATATTCTCTCAATTCATTCATCGGTTATAAGTATCTCGTTTTATTATTTTATTTTTACTTTAAGTGTTTTTCTGCTGGCTCATGTCAGCAACAGCCGGATTAGTAGGCAAATTTGCTTTCATCTCCCTCAACCATATGAGCATCTACAGTTTAGAACTAATGAAAAACTACTGACAGTCAACTGTAATGGTACCATAGCAAAAATCAACAAATGCTGGGATTCGTTTGCGACGTTCTGTAAAGGAAATGCTGCTAAACCTATCTTCGTATGGTGTGGTCGCCTTTTCTGGAACAAAGTAAATAAAAACAATAATAATAATACGCATGCATTTTTACTGAAAAGACACTATACGCATGACAGATACATATATTATATTGATAGCCAGCGCAACGAGTTTGGCAACCTATATCACACAATTATTACCTTTTAAAAAAGGGCTGATCGCTCTAAACATGTCAAGAGGAGGCCTTATACACACGACGACTAACGGATTAAACAGAAAGATGTCCACCTTTGTCTGTGTAAGGGGTCACAGCTTTTGTGGACAAAAAGAAATGGAAACAATACCACGACAGTTTCACATAGATGTCATCAACGAACAACAAAATGAAGAATGTTAGGCACCAGCCTCCGAACGGGGAGATAAAGATGTTAAATATATATTAATAGTAGTAGTTGCAGCAGCAGTAGTGGCAGTAAGGGCAGTAGTCATAATAGTAGTACTAGCAGCAGTAGTAGTAGTAGTCGTAGTAGTAGTAATAGTACAGTAGTAGCAGCGGTAGCATGAGCAGAAGTAGTAGTAGTGGTGGTGGTGGTCTGCATCTCATTTCAGCCAGACTACTTCTCACGTTTAACTTCTCTTTAAAAGTTCACAATCAACAATATAAACTTAAAAAATCGCGTCTATATCGGCTGCTGGCGTAATAATACACAAAAATGTTGACTGTAGATTTGACCAACACACACTGAAAAACCAGCGAGTAAAGAAGTTCGTACAGGTTTTCCTGTGGTTTTCCTATATCCACTTCTGGAAAGAACACTCTAACAAAAACATTCATAACCAATGGCAAATTGCAAACGAAAAATATTATAGTCAGTAGAACTACAACTATTGTTAGTTTTAATTCATTGTTAGTCATCATGTTCATTGTTTTGTGGAATGTTGTTCCAGCTATCTTTGATTCATTCTTGGAATTATAAGTTTTTCTTGACCTCTCTAAATTGGTTGTGTTTCTGAACTTTGATGACTTGTTGATGCCGTGAATCATGAACCCGCTGCTTATGGTGATTATCACTTGAGCTGCAATAGGTGACAGCATACCAGTCAAGGTGCCAATGAATAAGTCAATATCACGTCTGTTTGCAGACAGCCATAGAACTAGCTGAGTTATGTTGTTGGTTGGATTGAACAGCCAGTGAGTTCTCTGTGTAGCCCAGGCAGGGCTGATGGAAGCCACACCAAGCATAATGATGGCCACGTTTACCAGGATAGTCCTAGGTCTAGTGAAAATATCTTTGATCTTCAAAGGGGTCAGGACACAAAGACATCTCTCACATGAGAGGTAGACGGTTGTGAGTGTAGATAGAATATACATAAGTGCTCTAGTGTATGCTACATAAACAAATCCGATCGACCCTACGTTGTAATTAGGTATGGGAAAATATACTTCAATGACAAAAAGGACAGCAGTAACACCAGATAAGAAACAAATAGCTAGATCCCAAACGGACAGGGCCATAAAGGTGATATTGACACTGTCTTTGAATCCTTGCTTGTAGTAGACAATGATGTTGAAGACGTTTGCTATAACTCCAACCACAGAAACCAGAATGCTCAGCACAATGGAAACTGACGTTCTAAAATAAATCAACACATTATCGGAGATAATTTTCACTGTTGTATCTAAACACTTGCCTGCACAAGCTAGTGTGGTTACTGATATGTTTGATTTCATTTCAAAGGTATATTACACGTTGCTTATCTTCGTGAAGTTTCATTAATGATGCGGCATCTGAAAACAAATAAAATAAAATACAATATATATATATATATATATATATATATATATATATATATATATATATATATAATATAAAATAAAATACAATATATATATATATATATATATATATATATATATATATATATATATATATATATATATATATATAAACAATACTTCTTCTTTTGCATACTATCCCTCAGAGGAAAAATGGTCATTAACCAACTCCAGCCAAGTCATTCTATCTTTCGCTTTTGTATACAGCTCATCCCATGTCATCGTTCTTCTGTTAAAAGAGTCTCCCTCCATCTTGGTTAGCTGGGTATTTTTTTTTCCTCTTTTATACTTTTCCATGGTTGGTTGTTCTTCTGGCTGTTGTTTTGTAAAGGGTGAGTTATTCTTGGTAATCTTGGTAATCTTAGTTTCAGCTTCATAGTTGCTCCGCTTCTGTGCCCCAGAAAAACACACAGAATGCTCATCACAATCCCTTGTGAAAAGATTGACAGACTGCTGTCTGAGTATATGCACTAGCAAACACAAGCACTTAAAGTATGCGGTAGCCATCAGAAGTGCTAACACAAACAGTCGGACATTAGAAATACAGTTCATCATCGACGGTAGCAGAAGTCAAAAACAGATCAGCAGTTGTACACGCTAATAATTTTTTTCATATCAGAGCACCGCCAATATTGCGACGACAGGCCACGCGCCATTTTTGAAATGTACAATTCACAACACCCTGTTGGTCACAAATACAATCCAAATAAAATCTGCAGCTCACAGTGTCGCGCCATGCACTCAACTCAGTAACTGGGCGACAAAACTAAATATTTTCAGCCTATAAATGGAGCGAAAATGCAACGGTTACCGTCTGGAATGAGCAAAAAAATTGGCCATGACTCAAAACAAGGAATGTGCCCAGCATCCATTTTAACAGCAATGATGAGGTAGACAACATCAATCCCAACACAGTCTTTATTCGCCTTTCGTGACATGCTTGGCAGAGTGCGTCAACAATCCTTAGTGTATTACCCCCCCCCCCCCCCTCCCCTAACTGTTTTTCCCCATCCCCCCCCCCCCCCCCCCCCGCCCCAATATATCTTACACTATACGGAAACAAGAAATGAAAAAAAAAAACACAATGTGTGCAAAATTCGTCTTCAGTTTCACATCACGAGGAACGAAAGTTGTGGGCTCCTGTGAAATAATGTACACATAATGACTTAGTGCCTACATTTTTGCCAAATGATTTAATGTGCTATATGCGCTTCCATAGTTATTTTAAATCATCCCAAATGCAAACAATCCAACTTATTTAATCGGACAATCATAGTAAGTATTTTTAAAGGTAATTTGGAAACGAAAATTATTGGAGCACATTGCCAGGTCATTCACAAAAAGCATGTCCGCAGAGCTTGTGTTCAGGAAATAATTTACAAATCGATGGCAAGTTTTTTAATATAGCAACAACAAAAAACGTGAATATATTAAATAATAACAAATAATGACAGAAAATGAAGGATGACCAGGGCCTCTTTAACGCATGGGCCAGCTAGGCATTCTCCCGGGGCCTCACCAAGTTAGGGACCCTTTGCTACGCTGTGTATGTCAAGAGACCTGCCATTATTAAACATGATGTTTGACGTTTACAATAATTCTATGCAATATAAAACCTATAAAACTCACACAAAGTGCATAAAACAGTTGGAGCTGGGAACATGGACGCAAGTATTAAACAATGTGTTTAAACGTGAATGGCCATTCTATTCACTATCACAAAGTTGTCTGTTCCGCTTTGCATGTCACCTGTTGTCCTAGAAAGAAATGTACTTTGTTACATCGGGGTTTCAGTGAGTGGAAACACAGCAATGTTATTGTAGAATGTGAACACGGAGAAGAACATCAAACACACACACACACACACACACACACACACTCACGCACACACATACACACACATACACACACACACACACACACACACACACACACACACACTAACTCACAACCTATCCGTCGTAATGGAATACCCTCGTACGTCGAGGAGGCCTTGTACACCCTAGATATTTAAAATCATCTCTACATCACAGTCATCTTTAGTTTGCTTGAACTACATTGTCAATCTGAGCAATACTTTAAAAACATTTTTTTTTTAATTACTTATCTTTCTTAGTCGGATCAATTGTTCTTGGAATTTGCCTATTTCACTTAACCTTTAAGGAAATTTTTTGAATCATCACTGATTAAATTGAAAATAAATATCCAAATAACAGTGGCTGCTATGTAAAGAACATGTCCACCGTTTACACAAGGATAAGTAGTGTATTGATGATACATGATTTTAAGGCGAGGTTATCAGTGGCCCATTGATTAAACCAATCACTGAAGTCCCCAGACAGTAAGGAGCTATGTGATAAGCCACTCACAGTCAACAGATCTAACTGTACAGCAAACACAGACACTAACTATTTTAATTTTAAACACAGTTGTCTACAATATAATGATGAAGACTAGCCGATTCAAATTTTAAAGTCAACATTAAAAAGGTGCAGTTGACATTTCCTTGTGCTTACAGAAATAAGCCTCCAAGAGCAAATATTAACTATGTAGATAAAGATAAATGATGGCAGACATGCAGACAGAAAAGATAGAGAGGGCTAGATTAATAGAGACAGACATAAAGGCGGGAAGACAGACAGACAGACAGAACCAACGAACAAACTTTATTTTCAAGGGGTCACAAACATAATAATCAGATCAGTCTCACATTCGGCTCTTTCAAACACCCATCTTTCATACAGCAATTGTATTTTATTAATAAAACATGTTATGTTCACACAGTGATATGCATACTATGAATATCATGGAGAAAAAACACACAAAACCATGGGTGGTAAAATGCATAGGCACACTCGCGCGCAAACACAAGCCCACATACACACGCCCACCCACTCACTTACTCACCTATGCACCTGCATACATACACACACCTACATACATACGAACATACATGTAACATATATACAAACAAACATGTATACATACTCACCCATTCACGTACACTCACGCATACATACGTTAATATACTGCTTTAAAAAAAAAAAGCATAGTTACCCGACGGCACGTTTTTATTAGTTAACTAGCTGTACCCGGCCACGCGTTGCTGTGGCGTAATTTGACTACATGGAAAATAGAGAACATAGAAATGTGTCTTCGCTTCACGCTAGCGATGTACAGAGCAACAGCTAAACCAAAGCTAATAAAACTGGTTACAAAAGTGGTTATTTGGTTATCACATGCTAAAGCTGTTTGTATTTTTATAGGAGACGGAAGTAAAGCTACAACTGTACTTGTAAATAACAAAGTAAGTCGTAAAAAATAGAAAAGCGGAGGTAGCGTTAGTAAAATATAAACAAATTAGGTAATGAGAACTTAAAAATCACGTGTAAAGCTCTTTAAGTTCTCTTAAATTTAAGTCATTACCCCCCTCCCCTCCCCTCTTCCACCGACTACTGCTCTCTTCCTCTTCGAAGGATTTGAAAATCACTAACTGGCGATATTTTGTTGTTGCTGTAACTGACATTGACATCCCTGTCCATCTGGACTAAAATAAGGAGCAGGAATTGTAAAAGGTAGTGAATAGGGCTAGTGAAATATTTACCACATCATCCTTCAAGTACCAGTACAACTACTAAAATAATGTCACTGCTATCTGTGTTACCATCGGAGTAGACAGAGAGTCGTGAGCCAGAAGATTTGGTTCCGCATGGCTAGTGCTGTCGCCACAGACTGGTCAGGTTGGGATGTATAATTTCACTTGCCGACAGAAGAACGCCATAACCTTACCGGCGGTCTTCACATGAGAGCACTATGGTGTAACAGCCCAACCACAACTATTACTGCTGCTGCTACTTTAAGTGGGTAAAGCAGTTACTGTGACTTAAAGCTCTCTCAGTTAATAGTTTTGCCCCCCCCCCCCCCCCCCCCCCCCCCCCCAAATTCACCGACAACTCTTTCCCACATTGAAGTAGTTGTGAGGAAAAAAAACAACACTTGAAAAGCAAATGAACACAGCAAAAAAAAAAAACACCATAATTAGGAAATGAACGCCATTGTAAACAGCACAGCTTAAAATTCCAACACAGATGAAATAACTAAATCTAAATGAAAATAAATGAAAATCTATAAAATTTCAGCGTAACCATGCAATCGGAAAGTTTAACAATGCAATCATAAGTATGCGAAATGGTCAAATTTAATTATCAAATTGTTTACCCATTTACTGTTTTTTTTTTTTTTTTAATATTAAGGCAACATGGCTAGTGCTGTCACCACGACAGAGCAGATGAGGATATTATTTTAGTCCGGGGTAAAAAAAAAAAAAAACTAACTCCTGCGGATTCGAACCCAGGTCTACCGCACTTGAACCCAGTGTACTAACCATTCGACCAAGCAGCCACTTAATCGGAACAACGAAAAGAGAACACAACTGTTAGACATATGTGTCCCTACCACTGTGTCGCGATTAAAACACAATTCAAAACCGCAGGCAATTGTTTTCTCGTAGACAGATACTCCAGATATATTAATGAAATAGAAATCGCACGTGTCTAACACGGTTAATGAAGTTAATGTCGCAGTCACTGTCTCCCCCGACGTCGAGATAGTCCTCGATTGCCCCCCCCCCCCCCCCCTTCACCCCCCCCCCCCCCCCCCCCCCCCCTCGAAGGTTGTTTGAAAAAAAAAAAACAGAAAATAGAAATCGTGTTTAATATGGTTATTGTGGCAAATATAGAGATAGTCTTGTTTGCTGTACCACGACCTACTCTATGTATTAGTATTAGAGAAGGCGTTGGCTGCACGTAACTCGCCGGCGAATGGGAAATACGGCGCATGCGCAATTACTAACGTGGCTATAATTAGAAATCACTAAAGTTATAAATATTAGTTGC